CTCGTGCTGGCGGCCGTTTGGCCGGCGGCGGGGCGCGCCAGCCTCGCGCCGCGCCGGCGGCCAGGGCGGCGGCCGGGGTCGGCGACCTGGCCGACCTGCGCCCTGGCCTGACCCGGTGCGACGCGCGGCGCCTCTCTCCCAGCACGCCCGGCTCGCGGGCGGCGTCGCGGCTGCACGGTGCCGGCGCGAGCGTGCGACGCGGGTGCCGTGTAAACAAGGCCAGCGCCGCCGCTGGCACAAAGAGCAGCTTGTGCCCGTGCAAGCTGCTGGGTGGTTGGCCGCCGTGCGATCGGAGTTAATGATGTCTTGTAAACAAGGCCGAACGCTGTCGCCAGGAGCGATGTTGGAGGCGTTTGATGCCGCTGCCGCATCGCTATCTGAACTGCGGAGCTGGCTCTGCGCTGGCTGCGGCCGCGAACGCCCTGTTTTGTAGCCGGACGACACAATTACCGGCGGCTGATTACCTTTATGGCGGCACTGGGCCATATGGTGCTGTTTGGCAACGACGCACCCTGTTGGTCGGCGTGCCGGTTTTAATTACCGTTTTTGCTGTATCATACCGGCGAGTCATTATCTCCGTAATGTTTCCCTCCGCATGGGAGTTTTGTAGGCGTCGAACTGTCATCACAGAACAATCTCACATTCACTTGAGCTCAGACACCGTTTTCCCCGTTTGCGGCCTGCCCCGACTGTGCAGATATGTCGCGGACTGTCTCGTTAGTGGGATGCACGGCAGTGCACGGCAGCGGCTTTTAACGCCCAAATTATCAGGCGACCATGCATTGGTCTGGCTTGGATCATGAAGCTGCAGCCAACCGGAACTGAGACGAACATCGACATGTAAACACCGATTACTGCGAAAACAACGCGCTAATTGAACGGCAAGTAAAACCCATGCAACTTCCAATCTCTGGAAGTCAGCTTGGAGAAAACGCAGCTTGTCGCTGCCTGCGCCGTTGCCCGGCCGTGGAGGTGATCATCCGTCTGTGTAGTGGATGGCCCGACCGACTGCTCATTGCTGACGATCGGCCGGCTTTGTCGCTGGCACCGGCCGCCGGGCGTCGGTCGCTGTCGTCGGCGACAGATCGGCGCCGATCGCCGGCGGCCAGCCACCCTCCCTCGTCCGCCGCGGCGGCGGGGCCGGGCGGGCTGAGCTCTCGCCGCCGGCCGCCGGCCGCCGCGCCGCTGCTGGTGGGGTCCTGGTCCAGCGGGGTTTGCCGGCCAGCACGGGGCTCGTCCGTCACCCGCCCGACTGCTGGTGCACAGGTGTGACGGGCGTCCCGTGTGGTATACGTCACACAGGACAGGCGCCGCGGCGTGCGGAGGCTGCTCCTTCCGAAGACGCCCACCCTCATTGTGAAGGACCGCCGGCGCCGGGCGCTGAAGACGCCTGCCGAGCCGTCAGCTCCGGACGGATCCCGTCTCGCTGTGCGGATGGGCGGTGCGAGGTGCCGGCGCCGCTGGGCCACGGCATCACGCCGTCAGTGCCGGACGGATCCCGTCTCGCTGTGCGGATGGGCGGTGCGAGGTGCCGGCGCCGCTGGGCCACGGCACCACGCCGTTAATGCCGGACAGGTCCCGTCTCGCGGTGCGGGTGGCCGGTGCGAGGTGCCGGCGCCGCTGGGCCACGGCACCACGCCATCAGTGCCGGACGGATCCCGTCTCGCGGTGCGGGTGGCCGGTGCGAGGTGCCGGCGCCGCTGGGCCACGGCATCACGCCGTCAGTGCCGGACGGATCCCGTCTCGCTGTGCGGGTGGCCGGTGCGAGGTGCCGGCGCCGCTGGGCCACGGCACACGCCGTCAGTGCCGGACGGATCCCGTCTCGCTGTGCGGATGGCGGTGCGAGGTGCCGGCGCCGCTGGGCCACGGCACCACGCCGTTAAGTGCCGGACAGGTCCCGTCTCGCGGTGCGGGTGGCCGGTGCGAGGTGCCGGCGCCGCTGGGCCACGGCACCACGCCATCAGTGCCGGACGGATCCCGTCTCGCGGTGCGGGTGGCCGGTGCGAGGTGCCGGCGCCGCTGGGCCACGGCACCTCGCCGTCAGCGTCGGACATCTCCCGTCACGCCACCAGTCCGCGCCCGAGAGTCGGCCGCTGACGCCAATCGATAGGGGGAGGCCGGCCGACAAAGGGGGAGTGCGCCGCGGCCGCCGCCCCGCGCCGGAAGCGCCTTCGACAGACCGGAAACAATGGCCGGACCAATAGCCGGCCGCCGGCTGCGGTCGGCGGTGGCCGGCGGCGGCGGGAGGCGGGGGTGGCGACGGTCGGTAGGCGCGGGACGCCGTCAGCTGCTCCGGGAACGAGATCGGAATGCCGGTGCCGGCCGACGGCTGGCTGGGTTGAGATCTTAGCCCTTCGATCGCCGCGTATTTACGAGTGCCGACGACGTTACCGGCGCGGGTCGCTGCGCTGCTAATGAGCTCAGCAGCTCCGTACGTCGATAAATATTCTTTAACGATTATTATGCATCGTTGGCAGGGGTTGGATGGGTAACAGTAAATCATTGCCGTTAACAGGCGGCTCGTCTCGAACGGTCGAGGCGTGTGCGTCTGCCCGCGTCAGGGTCACGGCCGGCCGCAGCTAACTTGTTCGGTGTTGTCTCAAAATTTGCATGCGCCGTGGGAGTCCCTAAGTTATGATCGACTGGTGTCTTTCTCAGCTACGGTGACGCTTTATCGCATGACTTCGGGTGTTGTGTGCTGGGCCGAGGACTCGGACTGTCGCTGAACTGTTGCGGTCAGCTGCCGGAGGTGCACATACGCGACGTGTCTCTTCTCCCCGTCCTATTCCGAGCGCAGCGTCGAACATATCCCGATACCTTATAAAGGCTGTTATCCAATCCGTCGGCCAGTGTCGCCAGCTCGAGTCTGCGGTCCACCCCAGCGGCCCCGCGGTGCCCCGGGCGGTGCTGGTCCCGGGGCGTGTATTTGCCCTGAGCCAGGCCAGGCCGGCCGCTCCGGGATTGCGCCACACAGCACCAGCAGCCTCTCCGCTCTGTTGCGAATCAGCTGCAATTCGGCCTGTGGCCTCCATGTAACACAACCGCCGGCGGTCGTGCAGCCCCGACCATTACACGCACAGGCGACTCGCTTTAGATGCGCTGGGCCGCGGCGGCGGCGTCTTATCAACAATCCAGCGACAACAGGAAGATGGGGAGGGGGCTCCGACGTCCGGCCGCGCCGCCCACAGTCCGCCCACGAGACGTGCCTGTTGACCTAGTCGTGAGACCGGTCTGTGGACGGGACGCGGCCCCGGGCCCGCCGCAGCGGACTGGAGCCGGGCCTGGAGCCGACACATCCGTGTGCTGACCTGGTTCCAGCAGCGGTGCGGTGGGCTAGACCCGGCGTCGGGCCCAGCGCTTGACATGCTCGGGGCTCGGGGCTCGGGGCGGGGCATGCGTCGGGCTTGGCATGCTCGCAGCTGCTGTATGTACCGACGTAACTGGTCTGGCGACATCCCTGTCATGAGTCAACTCTGGGCGCTCTCGGGTCTGGTCTTGGACCACTCGCCTCCACTTTGGTCGTGTCTCCTGGGCTTGGACGAGACATAGGTCGACAAGTGCGTCGTCAGGGGTGTGGCGGTTTTCCGGCGTTTGTATGGCTCCTGTCACCAATAGCTTCCGTTGTTCTTGATCGGGGCCAAGGACAGGAAGCCACCGAAGTGCGATGTTGGGACTGAGCGCCTGTCTCACTGCTCGCGTCCATCCGTTCCAGAGTACAGACGAAGCCGGACGGAGCTGAAGAAGCGATCTTCAGAGGCGCAGAAGCAGCACAAGAAGGCTCGCAAAGTGAAGTCGCCGGACGCGCAGCGCTCGCTGACCCTGCAGCTGTCGGATGTGCAGGACCGCTACCAGGTCAGGGTGAGCGCCAATGTTAGGCCGGAGGGCGGGGTCGAGGGAGGGTTCTTCACCGTGTCACACTCGCGCATTGATATTGTCTTGAACTGCATTGTGTGCAACTCGTGGAAGGTCACCGAATTACCGCCGTTGGAGGACCGCCACGGGGCCAGGGTATCGGGGTCAGGTCTTGCTGGCTACTTGAACAGCACGTACATACTGTGCGTGGACGACAGACGTCACGACAAATGAGTACATCAAGCGACGGGATGGTGTTTATGTACAATGCATAGCCGGCCGTTCGCTCGTGGTGGCGGCGGTGTAGACTCCAAGCGCAGCCGCCCCACCACACCGCCCAGCGGTGTTGACATCGAAGCGCACCCACCCCACCGCACTACCTGGCAGTGCTGACTCTGGGCACACCCACCCCACCGCACCACCTGGCAGTGCTGACTCTGAGCACACCCACCCCTCCGCACCACCCAGCGGTGTTGACTCGAAGCGCACCCACCCACCACACCACCCGGCGGTGTGGTGGGGCGCGCTCCCACCCCACCGTACCGCCTGGCGGTGTTGACTCGGAGCAGTTCCATCCCACCAGCGCCGCCTGTACCGAGCCGGATGGTGGCCAGATGCGGGGCGGCGGGACGCCGCTAAAACAGGCCGGCCCAGATCCGGCGGCGCGTCGTGGCCGGGGCCGCGCGTCACAACAGGCGCGTCTGGAAGCGGGCCGCCCCGCGCCGGCCCGCCCGCGCTCTGACGGCAGGCGAACTGCGGCGGTCTCGGGAGGCGGAGGGAAAGGCGTCGGTGCCGTCGACGGGGCGGGACGGCGTGCCGGGCCGGCCGGGAGGCGCCGATCGGATGCCTGCGCGGCGGCCCCGTCTGCTGTGCGGACAGCCGGCGGTGGGGCCGGACCCGAGCCGGCGCCGGTCAAATGCCATGACGCCTGGCGCGTGCCCCGAGCGTCGCGTGGCATGAGACCTGTCTCTTGCCAGGGGCGGGGTAGCTTTGACCTTTCAGCGTCCGTCAAACGACACCTGGCCGTTGGTGACGATGACACACGTGAGTGGGCGCAATGCCAGTGTTGGTTGTCAGCCGCTGCATCCGGCTTGCACGCTACCTGGAAACGGGCCGCGCTGCGCCCACGTAACTTGCTGTGCGGTGCAGGATATAAAACTGCCGCCCACGGCGGTACGAATAGCCACGCCTTGCACACCGGCGACGGCGGATATGAGCTGAGTGGCGCCAGTGATTGTGGGTAAGAACGCGGGCAGGTGTAGAGGCTACCGTCGGATGTGTCCTCATTCGAAGACACCGGGTGAGAACGCGGGCAGGCGTAGAGGCTACCCTCGGATGGGTGCTCATTCGAAGACACTGGGTTTGGGCACGGCCAGGCGTAGAGGCTGCCTTCGGCATGTCCTCACCCGAAGACACTGGATGGGGGACACGGCCAGGTGGAGAGGCTACCCTCGGGGTTGTCCTTACCCGAAGACACAGACTTTCGACACTCCTAAAGCGCGGTGTGGCAAAGCGGCTCTGAAAACCACTTTTTGTATGTTTGGTTGGGTGTTGCAGTGGTTCCGAAATGGATTCCTCACCTGAATGTGCGGTGCAGACCTGCGGAGAGGCCCGGGTCGCCGGTCTGTTACACGGTGTGGCCGATTATCAGGTGGCTGAAGACACGTGGGTGCTTCTTGTGTATCGGTCCCACGAACTCCGTCAATCAGTTCGTAAACACCGCCGTCACGTCTTGGGAAGTTCTGGCGACACTGACGGCGCGGCGATTACCTGTAATACGCCCGTGACGCCAGCGTATTGCGTCACCGCATCACGGCTGGTGTAGGGTGACGTCACTGGCATCGCTGATGGCGGCTTGCGGCCCGTGACGTCGCGGACCTGGCGTGGTCTCGGAGACGCTGCCATCCGACGTTTTCCAGATCACGTATTTCCAGCCATGGGCTGTCACACACTCGCTCATCGGTGGCCTTCGGGAAGCCAGGATAACGTCCAGATCGCGCCACCAGGCGCGGTGTTTTGTATATACGCGCGCCCGTCAACGGTGGCGTTGTGACCCCTGCTACGGGGGTGTGGTTACCGGCCGAGGTGGGCTGTGTGCGTTTTCGCCGCTGCCCGGTGTCCCTCTCCAAGAAATACCTGCTGCATGGACCTGTGTGTCCTCGTGGGTGTTAACTGAGTTTGTCAATGTATTGGATTGTGTAGAACACAGGCTTGTTATGCGAGAGCCCTTTGGAGATATGTGCGTTGTTGAAAAGCTTGAAGTTAACACTTGTTGCGGATTTCGTTCGGCATGATAATTGATAACATTTCTTCTCACCTGTAGCTATATCTTAATCTTGTTAGTGAGCACATTGCACCGCACAAATCTTTGCCACCGGTTACAACCTGCCAACAGCGTGCCTGACCACAAGCTAAAAGACGTGGGAGTACCATGCACGTGTTGGCGTTTGCAAGGGCCGTGCCTGCGGTGCCCGTGCGCCCGTGGTCGGTGGTCGGCGGAGGGCGGGCGGCCGGCCGGTGTCGCGGCCCCGTTACTCAGCGGCCGGTCAGCGGGCGTGATCAGGGCCGGTGCCGGTTCGCGAGGCGGGCTGCTGACGGCGCCGGGGCCGGAGCCGGCGCCGGCGCCGCGCTGCGGGCTCCGCCAGGCGCCGCGCCGCACGGCAATGACATGGTCGCGCACTATGTACCGCCACGCACACACACGCACACACACACACTGCGGTGGGCCCCGACGGCCCAACGCAGCGGGGCCAGCCGGAGTCCCGCAGTCGGAGCCGGTGCCGGAGCCGGAGCCGGATCCGGAGCCGGAGCCGGAGCCGGAGCCGGAGCCGGAGCCGGAGCCGGAGCCGGAGCCGGCGCCGGAGCCGGTGCCGGTGCCGGTGCCGGTGCCGGTGCCGGTGCCGGAGTCGGAGACGGAGCCGGAGCCGGAGACGGAGACGGAGACGGAGACGGAGACGGAGACGGAGACGGAGTCCCGTAGTCGGAGCTGGAGCCGGAGCCGGAGCCGGAGCCGGAGCCGGAGCCGGAGCCGGAGCCGGAGCCGGAGCCGGAGCCGGCCCGGCCCGGCGGGAGTTCACCGGGGACAGTGCCTGGGCTGGCGTGGAACAAAGCTGGACGACCTGCCGGACAGCGGGGAAAGGGGGGGGAGGAGCTCGGCCATTGTGACCTTCTTTGCAACCGTGGGATGACCCTGCCGGTCCAGTTCGACTCGGTGTATTGCGGTTCCATTTTCGAACGTTTCAAGCCTGTTCACGAACCCAAGTCGAAATACTTGGAAACAGTGGCAAGGCGAAGACAGGCGGCCAGCTGGAACTCTCAGAAACGCTTGGCACACGGTCAGGCGTCATTTCTCGGTAGCGGCCGAGTGCGGCGCGCCCGGCGGGCCGAGAGGAGGCGCGAAGCGCCGGTGAGCACCCTGAGCACCCAGCGAAGCGCCGCTGAGCACCCCTGACTGTCGGTCACGGCCTCTTCCGGCGCGGCCTTGTGTCTGAGAGGAGCGCGCGCTTCTCGCCGCCGTGACGTGGCTGGCAGGGTTGCCGGCTATCCGCCGCGATGTCGTTGTCGTTCTTTCCACTGCCGTTGCCGGTGGCGCAGCCTACCGGACCGCCCTTGGCGGTGGCAAGCGCAGGCTCTGTTGCCAGCCACAGGCCGGGGGCAGGCAGGTCGCGGCGCCCTCGCCTGCACATCATTGCTATGCTTTGACCTCCGGAGTCAACGCGTCGGCTTACATCCGGAGGAGTCGGGATTGATCGGGCGCCAGGACGTGCTCGGTCGGCTGGGTGATCGCCTCGTCTGCTGCGGGCGGCGCGGCGCCTTTCCCCGGGTGACCTTACGTCGCGCAGCCGCTTGCAGGGCGGCGAGCCGCGGCCGTCGCTGTCCGGACGGAGGGGGGCCGGACCGGCTGCCGGACCGGTGGCGGCTCACGACGCCGCCGGACGTCACAGGTCTGCCGGCCGCATGTCTCGGCCCGCCCGCCGCCCGTAGTGACGGTCGCGCTGGTGGCGCCGCTAAACGCGAGGGCACGCCTGAGCGCGCCGGGCACAGGTGGCTGGCACGGCCGGAGCGGCGCGCCGCGCTCTACTGGCGATCGAGCCGGACTGGCGTGCTCACCGCGGCTGGGCTGGCCTGCTCACCGCGGCTGGGTTGACCTGCTCATCTCCTGCGCCACCGCTGCCGTGTTCGCGGCTCACCGGGCTGTGCATCTGTTCTCGGGTTGATGATGCTCCCTGAGATCACAACAGGTGGCGTCGTCTGCCCCTTTCGCGCGATGCAAGGTCACCTTCCGCTGATTCAACAGTCAACGGGATGTCCGCAGGGGTACGGCAGGTAGAAGGCGTCTCATCTCGCCTGCTTAGAATTGAATGAATCGATGCTTTTGCCTTCCGGTGGCGCAACAAAGTTCGCGTCATGGCAGCAACCGGTCCGATTGTGTTCGTCATCGCAAACCCGAGGGCTTTAACTCATTCGGTTTCGCCCGCGGCTGGGTCATTCTTCCATCTCACGAGATTTATTTGGCAATAACATTCAGGATATTTTTCCACATGATCCCACTTGTCTTCCACGTTTTTTTGGACTAGTTGCTTACGAATACATTACCGGGGGACAGCTATGATCCCCATTGCTCGTAATTCGTCCTGATCTTTGGTCATTGTGCCGCCAGCAGCGGCAACATGAAAACATACCTTGCTGAGGTATGGTACATACCAAGGTACCCAACATACCTTGAAAACGTTTTTGAAGTGGTGGCAAGCCCCAGCCGCCGACCGTGCAACCTTGGTTCCGACTGCAATTACGGATGGGCTGTTGGCTTAGCCGGTCGTTAAGTTCGTATTATGAAGCACCAGTCTTAAATCAAATGTCATGTGTCGCAGTGACGTCGGTGTATTAGCTTGGCAGTTTTGTCGCGTCGTGCCAATTAGATAATGATGGTGTCGGTGTGCTTGCCGTGCCGGCCTCTGTTATGACATCCCTCTCATGCAACAACCACTTGTGGTGAGAAGCCATTATTTCCCGAAATGAGGCGGAAAATGTGACGGTAAATATTGTTGCATGGCATGATTAGTGGGCGTACTTGCGACCTGACCGCTGCGCGGGACCGGTTTTGGAGACTCTGGGGAGGTTCGGTGTCCCTGTACTAAGTTTCCGTAAGACTCCCCCACTCCTCGCGACGAGGATCGGACCCGGGAACGACAGTCTCCTAGCTGAGTCTGTCGCCATGACGTTGTATCTGATTATTGTTATTTGGGTTTCGAGACGCGTCGACAGCAGGGGTCATTTTGCGCCGATGTTGTGTATGAATATGACACTGATCGACCTTGCAATTCCATTTCATCAAGTGTGGTGCCTACATTCCGACGCCGAAGAGTGTTGCCATGGGAAAGCCGTCTGGCCATCGTGATTGATGTTGGCTGGAGACGGCCCTGTGAGCGCGCCTCTGGAGGGAGCGCTCCGGCCTGTGTTTCACCCGTGCCCTCCTCTGTCCGTCCTCAGCGGCTGGAGGCCGGCGAGCGGGCGTCGCTGGAGGCGGCCCTGTGGGCGCGCCTCTGGAGGGAGCGCTCCGGCCTGTGTTTCACCCGTGCCCTCTGTCCGTCCTCAGCGGCTGGAGGCCGGCGAGCGGGCGTCGCTGGAGGCGGCCCTGGTGGAGGAGCGGAGCCGCTACTGCCGCTTCGTCACCTGGCTGAAGCCGGTCGTGGTGAGTGACGCCTCTGGGCGAGGCCCGCCGTCGGGACTGCCGGCACGAGCCAGGGGCGTGACACGCTCCGAGGGGAGGGGCACACTGGTGTCCTCGGGATACAGGGGTTCGGAAGGATCGCGTTGGATGTTGTCGAACGTGTTATGCGTCGGGGTGTGCCGTTCGCGGTCCCGTCTCGGACGGGCTTCAAGTGATGAATACAATGGGCAGGGAACCGAACAGATCGTGATCATGAATGTTGCAATTTATTCTGTGTGCGTCGTATTCTGAGAAATGGAGGCTCCGTGGGTCACGTAACATGTGCGCCTTCAGTCCCCAGTCCTGCACTCGATTATGCTGAGTTAGATTCCATGTCAGCTCGGATATCAGTGTGGAAAAGTTTTCTCGAGAGTACAGCATGAGCGCGCCGAAAGAACGCGGCAAAAAAGTTCCTCCTGATTGTTGAACGAATCGCGACTCGGCTGCAAGCGGTCCCGATTTAACCTCCCATTTATTTCAACGGGATCCGTGACTTCGCTTTGTTTCAAACTTTGTTTGCAAACGAATATCGGAATGTTTGCCGAACTAGGCGCGGCTCGTCCAGATCAGATCCAATTTACCGGTGTCGAGAAAAAAGTGGTTGTTGAAAAGGGCAGAACGACGTACAAGACGGCGTTGATCCAAGTCCTGGATATCGATCGAGCACGTTAAGTGGACGCGCTGCGGGCCTGACAGCCCCTCCAGCGGCGTCAATTACCCGTCTGGCCGTAATTCACCCGGGAATAAAACACCGGGGCGCCGCCGGAGTGAGCCAGAGAGTCGGCCGTGTGGCGGCGGACAGACGGTCCTCTGATGAGGCCGCCGGCGCCAGCTTTAATCCCGGGCCGCGGTGCCGAGATGAATGTGTTATTATGGCGGGGACAGCAGCGCGCTGTGCCGCCGAGCTGAGCTCATCCCAGCGAGGGCGGCGCGTGTTTGTCGCCGCACGTCGGGGACGGCGACGGCGGCCGGCCGCTGCGCAGGGCCTCGCGTCGCTGAGGAGCGGCGGCGACGCTTCGCTGACGCGCTGAGTCGGCTGGACCCCGTCCCCTCCCCATTCCTCATGTGCTGTCTAGCGGTGTGCTGTGGTGACGCGGACGAGCCGGTGTCGTCATGGGCACCGACTTCGGAGGTGTTGTAGCAATTCATTCGAAAACGGGGGAAAACCGCACAGTAATTCATTCAAAAGCGGAAGAAAACCGCAGTGAGCAGGGTGTGCTTGAGTCAGGTCATGTCTGAGGCTGCGCGGACACCGTACTGGCCTCGAACCTGGAGGGGTACGCGTAAGGAGGGGTACACCTGGAGGGGAACCTGGAGGGGTACACGGCCATAACGCCCGCCTGCGCCCGTCAGGCCCAGAATGAAGAGATTGGGGACATGTGCCACTCTCCACGTTCTGTCGTTCCGTCAGCCTTATCTCCCTACCTCCCCGCGCACAGCCGTGCACGTCGGTGGGATTAGAGGTGCCCGATGCCAGTGGTGAGCGGTGTCAGTGAGGAGGCACAGCTGGAAAGGCACCGGCTGTGCTCTCCAGTGCCTTCCCAGCTGTGCCTCCTCAACGGGCGACTTCCCGGCGTCGCCCGTCGAGTTACACCGATTGCGCCGGTTTACGTTCATTCCCTTGTTGTTGGGTGGGCTGTCGCCGCTGTCGCTGCGGCTGACGTCGGAGCGGAGTCACGGGCGACTCGTGCTGCCCATCCTCCTGGCCGGCGCGACGGCGCGCGGCTGTGAGGCCGGGCTCCACGCCGCCGGGGCTGTCCCTGACCGCCGTCTCCGCATCCCAGCAGGGTGAGGTGGACGCCGCTGAGGAGATGTCCCGGCTGACCGAGGTCATGGAGCAGCTGGTGGCGCACACGGTCGAGCCGTTCGCCCTGCCGGCCGCCTCCGAACAGGTGAGGGCGCGGGCGCGCGGCGCTGCTGCGCTCCCAGCCGGGGGCGCCGCGGCCCGTCGGCGGCCGGAACTGGCGCCACGGCGGCGCGCCGCGCAGCGAGGGCGGCGGGGTGTGCGCAAGGGCCGATGTCGGCGGCTGGGCCAGCTGACCAGACGTGATGCCGGGTGCAGGGGTGCCTGTTGCTGTCGCGAACCTGTTGTCTTTACGCCCGTCTCGGCCTGGGCGTCTTGCACGAGGCCCTTGGACAGTTATTGATGCGATGTCGGCGGTTGTTGCGGTCCTCGCTCGCTTATGGATGCATCGCTTTGTCCAGGCTGCCATGGGGCCCGGCAATTTGTCACACGTATTGACTATTCTCCGCGTCCCCATGTTCTGCGCCCCGTGCCTCAACACCCAGCACTGATCAGCCGCTCGTCCAGAGTGGGCGTCGAGAAGCGAGGCCGCCGCCGGCCGCGATGAGCGGGCCGGTGCTGACCGACTGTCGGTCGTGTCCGCAGCTGATCGCCGACATAAAAGGCGCCGGCGACGCGTGGCAGCCCGGCTCGCCGCCCGACTCGCCGCGCGCCGCCTCCTCCTCGCTGGGCTCGCGCAAGTCCAGTCTGTGCTCCATCAACAGCCTGCACTCGTCCAGCTCCGGCGGCACGGCGCCGCCGGCCGGCGGCCGGCCCCGCTCGTTCAGCCACACGGCGGCGGCGCTGGCCGGCGCCGCGCCCGCGCAACGCGTCGCCAGCGTGTCGTCGCACGACTCGGGCTTCACGTCGCAGGACACGCTGTTCGTGCGGCCGGCCACGCCGCCGCCGCCGGCCGGCGGCTGGTGCGGCGCCTCCGTCTGCAGCCTGCCGACCGACGCGGCCGAGGCGGCCGAGCCGCCGCCGCCGGCCGCCTGGAGCCCGCCGCCGGCCAGCGAGGCGCCGCTGCCGCCACCACCGCCGCCCGAGGCCCCGGCCCCGCCGCGGCCGCACACAATCTCCAGCGGTGAGCGCCGCCACCGGGCAGTAGTGTAGGGAGAGATTGGTGAAAAGGGGTTGATCTGCCGTGGTGGCGTTGCGTCGCTTGCCCACCGTAAGGAATGGTTGGGGCTTGGCACGATCTCTGCACATCCTTGGGTTCAGACCTGCGTCGTTTTCGGTTTCACGTCCCCAGCGGGCGTAACCGCTCGGTGACGTGCCGTCCGCTCCGGTCCACCCCGTTGCCCCTGCCGCCCCTGACTTGCCCCTGACCCGACCCTGACCTGCCCTGACGCGTCCCCGTGACCTCCAGCGTACGTGCGGGGCGGTGTGCTGCAGCGGACGTCGCTGGGCCCGCTCACGTTCGTGGCGCCCCAGCGCGGCGTCTCGCCGTCTCCGCCGCCACCGCCGCCGCCGCCGGCCGGCCGGCCACCCGTGCCCGTAAAGGGCCGCTCCAGGCAGAAACGCAAGGTGCTCAGCCACTACGCCTGCCCGACGGACGCCGCGCTGCCCGACTTCAACCAAGCGGCGCCGCACATGGGTGAGTCCTCGTCGCTGCCGCTACTGTTTTGTCTGACATTGATGCCGACGTCTTTTGGCTCGCGTGTGGCACTGTTATGCTGCAGCTGCTCTGCTGTTTGTGCTGTTGGGTTGTGCTGCTGCTGCTTTGCTGTTGGCGCTGTTCGGTTTAAATGTGAGCAGACACTTGTTTGTGTAGGTTATTGTGTTGGTTAAACCGATCTCTACAGATTTGCTATTTTTGCGCATGTCTGAAGGGCACAGTTTTCGATCCGCGCCGACCGCCCGCTCACCAAGGGATGGCGTCTGGCTCGTTCGTTGGAGCGAATCGAGCCGGAGATCGCCCTCCCAGAGGCCTTGTGATGAGCGGAGACGGCCGTGCTCTGAATGTGATGGTCCGAAGACGGACAAAGGCCTCCTTGTGGTGGGCCGTCCCTTTGATGACGCCTATTGACTCTGCCGGTCGCGGTCTTCCCCTCGCTCGGCTCGGCGGCCCCCTGGGGCCGGGCGGTCGAGGGGCGTGAGTGTGTCCCGATGGCCGATGAATGGGGTGCAGCCCTCGCCCCTGTTCCGGGGAAGCCGCGCCGCCCCGCTGTGGATGCGGACGGGACGTTTGGGGAGTGCCGGCGAGTGGCGACAAATGGGAGCCGCACGCGCCCCCCGGCCGCCCTGTCTCGCCGTCCGGTGCTGCTCTCCCCGCCGTCCAGCACGCAAACGCCGGAGGGTATTATTGTGTCGCGAAGTGCCCGCCTCACGCTGGGTCGCTGAGCACTGCTCTAAAACGTCGGTATCAGCTGGTGCCGCGGCCGGCGTGCCGCTGAGGTGCGTCGTCGGCCTCCTGTCTCCGAGCGGCCGGCGTACCGCTGAGGTGCGTCGTCGGCCTCCTGTCTCCGAACGGCCGGCGCGACAGGCGTCGGGTGTGTGTGCGCGTGTGGAGCCTCGCCCGTGCCTCCCGCTGACGCTGTCCTCCGGCCGGCCGCAGTCGTGCCTCAGCCCGTGTACGCCAACATGGCCGAGCTGCGTCAGATGGCAGCACTGAAGGAGGAGGCCGCCGGCCCGCAGCCCGACGACGCGCCCAGCAACGCCCTGCCCACGGTAATGCCGCTAGCTGCCCCCCCCCCCCCCCCCTGCCGACGGCAGTGCCCGCAGCCCCTGTCCACAGTTACGGCCACCAGCTGGCTTTGCCCACGACGAAGCTAGCTGCTTACTTAACAGCGGATCACCGAAAGTCGTCGGTGGCTATAGCTCCGCGGTAGTATTGCACGTGTGAAAAATGTTTCGCGCATTGGGTTCGTCTTGAAAATGATCCAAGCGCCATTTGTACTTGGTCCAGGTTATCCGTTGTGTAATGCCGCGGCTTAAGAGCGGGGTGGCGTTTGCTGGGCCTGTATCTGGCGGGTCACCGACTCCTGCGAAAGAAAGGCGTCGTTCCCAGCGGCTGACCAGCCAAGGAGAAAAGCCCTTGTAATGACCAGCCATTCTGCGGGCCGGGAACAGTGACGTCACGCTGGCTCGACGGGACGCGTTGGTCGCCGCCGTGAGCGCGTTAGCTGCTTACGTGTGTGACGTGGTGTGGCGCCCTGGCATGCTGCCTCCCTGTCGGCGCCCCGGTGTGCCTGACGGCCGCCTCACGCCGCAGCTGGACCGCTGGGAGAGCGACGGATCCGGCTCCAGCGGCTACGGCAGCGTGCACGGTCCGGCGCACGCCCAGTCGGCAGACGGTACGTAGCCGCGCGCCGCCGCCGCCCGCCCCGCGCGGCGGCCAGCTGCCTGTCTCTTGTCCGGGTGTGAAGTCGGGGTTGGTGTCGGTGCCGGTGCAGGTGTCGGCGGCTGACTGACTGTGTAGGGCTGTCGCCTAGACAGAAGCTCTGGTTGCGCTTCCTGCCCCCGAGATTGGCAGTTGGTTGTGCATTGTGGCCTGTACGGTGAAGGTCGTGCGATTGGGACTACAGTGTCGCTTTGGAGCAAAATTACATGTTTTCGAGTGCTTGTAGTGCGCTGCTGCAGTGTCCGCGCCATGAGTAGGACGCTATTTAATCACATATTTAAATGGTAGCTGTCATGAATTCCTCTATCTGTCGTGCGTTACAGATGTAATTGCGAGACCTTTTAAAGCCCTGAACGCATGCGGTATGTCTTGCAACGAATCATCCCAACAACTCTAGGAAGACGGCGGGGGCAATATCCGGTCTCAAAATTGATGTCCATTGCCGCTACGAAGTTGGGCATTCTCTCCTAACATGCCTGTTTAGTTTGCGATTTAGCGCGGTGGTTAGCGCGTCAGTTTTGCATGATTTCTGCCTTTGATAGAGCGCCGTGGTGTGGGCGGTGCGGGGCATTGGAGGCTGCTGGGTTGGTGCCAAATGCCAGACCAGTTATTTGGACTGAAAGCAAACGCTTGTGTTATCCGAGGCTCTTTTGCGTTGTTGCGTTCTTCTTGGGTGGTAGTCAGGCGCTTTTCCATTTTCAAACAAAGGCAAATAATGTTCCGTGAGGAGCTGACCAGCATCGAAAGTGCGGGGCTGCTGGCATGTCCGCCCTGGTGCCGCGTGTGGGATACACTGTTTGCGAGACGGGTCGGTAGATGTCAGCAGCTTGTGGGTACATCCGCCGCCTGGCCGTCTCTGTGGTCCGAGTGGCGGCTGTGGCTGACGCGTCCTTTTTTGGTTCAGCTTTGCCGCCGCCGCCCGATTTTGTGTTATACAACTTTTGTGAAGAGCCCGCCGCCAGCCAGGAGAGCAGGCGGCCCATGTCGATAGCAGTGCCTGCAGGTGAGTGCGGAGCGAGCCACGCCGACGGCTCTCGGGCGCGCTTCGGTCGCTTTGTTTCCGAAGCATGGACTTGGGTGTCCACGCGCGTTTGGGATGCTGTCTCCCTTGTTCATCGCTGTTTTTCCCGTACGTCCGCTGCTGAATTGCTCTGTAGGCGTGCTGAAGGGTGCCTCTGAAAGAAAGACGCGTGGCGTGTGCTGCTGATGACGGCCACGCGGCCTCCCCGGCCGGGCCGCCGACCCGACTGACGCCCGCCTGTGTGCCGCAGACGCATCGGCGCCGCGCCACGGCGGCTTACGGCGCAGTCAGTCCCAGCTCAGCCGGCCGCCGCCGCCGCCGCCGGTACGGCGCGAGTCAGCAGTGGACGCGGCCGAGCCGCGCTCGGGCGCCGTCTCCGAGGCAGTGCGCTCGCTGACCGAGGCGCGTCACCAGCCGGCCAGCCCGGTGGCGCTGCGCCGCGCTGCCGCCAGCCGCGACCCCGGCTTCTTGCAGTCGCTGTCGGCGCGCATCTGTGCTGCCGGCTCGCCGGCCGAGCGACGCTCGCTGCCGCGCCAGCCGCCGACGCCGCCGCCGGCGCACGGCGCCACCGGGGCGCCGCAGCCGGCGCGCGTGACTTCGCTGCCGGCCGGCGACGGCGTGCCACCGCCCCCGCCGCCGCCGCCGCCCGCCGAGGCGCGTCCGCCCGTGCAGCGCTCCTTCAGCGCTGCCGCCGAGCAGCGGTTCTAAACGGCCGGCGCCGCTCCGCCCTCGGTGAGCGAGGAGCGCCGCGCCGCACCGGAGCCGTGGAACGCCGTCTGGAGCCGGCCGGTCGGCGGGCGGGCGTGCCGACGGGCGACGCTGCGGACGGGGTGCGTTACAGGACGCACGAGAGCTATGTGACCTGTGAGTGTCGGTGGGTGGGACGCTGGCGCGCGGAAAGAGACGCGCGCTGGCCAGATACAGCACCGATGTAGGCAGCACCGTCTCGTCGCCACGCCGAGACGCCGCCACGTGCGAGGCCGGCCCCGGCCATGGCGCAGACCAACAGCCGACACGGTGACCGTTGGATGTGGCGAGCGGTGACGGTGGCCGGCGAGGCGACAGACAATGACAGCGGCTCCGGGTGCGGGGATCGTTAGGCGGAGTGGTGGTTCGCTTCTCCGGCGCCGGTCGTTATTGCCTCAAATGTAAATGACGTTCAAAGAATTTGCCTATTGCTGTACACTAGCGGGAAAGAGCCTGTAAATAGTAGATCACGTAACGCCAAAGAGCCGCCTCCTTTTGTTAGGTTCATAACCACAAGCAGATGTGTGCAATATTTTGGGTATTGATGGTAGCGCTGATGTTCACAAAGAATTCTGATGCGTATGGTGGGTGTAATCGTACGCTCGTCACGTATTCCAAGCGTTCTCTTTATACGTTGTATGGATGTATGACAGTGTTAGTTTTAAGGACATGTTTAATATTACTTTCGGAACACAAATGACTTTGTGTGCTGTGGTGCTGATGCAAGCCACGACTCCACTGAGGTGAAGCGCCCGCGACGATGCATACACTTGGCCTCCAGTCGGGCTGACAGTGGGATCGAACAGGTAACGCAACGAATTCATGCAAGTGGAAGCACAATGGACCGACGTTCCAATACCACGTGCGGCTGTGCGTGTTAAACCCGGCACACGCGCGGCCTTGTGAAGCGCGAGCGGAGCGACGCTCGCGTCGAACGCTCTGGATGTGCCTGCGCAGAAGTGTGCGGGTTCGAAAGGGGACTGCGAACTTTGCGCCCGTGCAGCGGCAAAAGATCGACGCCAATGGGGAGTTTGGCAGTCTCCAACCGCGGCAACTGGTCCGAGTTTCAATCGAACGGCGTGAGGATGTCAGCTGAAACTTTGTCACTTTTCCATGCCGTCTTGATGTTTAAGCCATTGGTGAATAGCTAGAGACAGAGTAGTTATTTGTATACAGTTTATACGGTGTATACAGTCACAGCAGTGCACTTATTGCGTTGGTGTGACTGTCCGGGCTTCCATTCCGGGTACGCCATCCTCCTTCAGACAGTACGCCATCCTCCTTCAGACGGTACGCCATCCCCTCTCAGACGGTATACCATCCCCTCTCAAACGGTACGCCATCCCCTCTCAGACGGTATGCCATTCCCTCTCAGACAGTACGCCATCCTACCTCAGACGGTAGGCCACTCTGCCGGCGGTACGTTGTCCTCCCGCAGTACTGGTGCGATGTTCTCCGGTGCAAGACCATACTACCAGGTAACGGCTTTGCTCCGCTGCCCGGCTGGAACCCTTCCTCTCCGCAGCGGCAAGGGGACATTTCTCAGTAGGATACCGCTTTCGCCAGCAGTTCCCCACACCTGCTATCGGTATCACGCCCCCGGGGGTGCCCTGCCCTGTTTCCAGTGGTGTCGCGGCCGAGTCGGCCCACTCGCTGGCTGCCGCACATCAGCTGATGCGTCCGGCACCGGAGAATCGGCGTCCCTGGCGCGCCGCAAACGGCGCCATCAGGCGCGCCGCTCGGAGGGCCCCAGCTGGCTCTCGGGCGCGCTAGCGGAGGGGCGCTGCGGAAATAGCACCTTGGTGGCGGGCACCCGTGAGCGGGGGTGGCGGTAGTGTAGTGGTTAGCGCGTCTGCGTTAACTGTAGAAGTAGTGGTTAACGCGTCTGCGTTGACCACTACGCGTCTGGGAAACCAGGGGTACGGGGTTCGATTCCCCGAGGTGGCCGCCCTTCCTGCCAGGGTGAGAAGCAGGCGACGCCATATAGCCTCAGCGGCTGAGTGTGTCGTAAAGCCCAATTACACACATACACCCGTGTGCGACTGATAAGGCGGTGGCCTGCGGGACTCGAGGCTGGGACAGCCGCGTCGGCTCATCGTCTGGGGGCTGAGTGTTTTGATATTGTGTGAAAGGGCTGGTTAAGTTATGCTCATGAAATTGTGAGTCGGGTGAAGGTATTGCAGGTCAGGTCATGGCCGAGAATGGATGTGTGGCCGGTTTCCGTCACAGGCTTTCAATGTTGCAGCCACAAAGATGTCGGTTACGACGAGAAGTACAGCAATGTCAACGCCCATTGGGCACCTGCATAGGTGCCACCCCCACGCGCTGCCACTCACGCAACACACAATGGGTCAAGGTGAGAAGAGTTGGGACAAACATGAGCATGAACTGGCATGCTCCGCCACAATTACCGTCACGACCAATGTCAGTCATTGTGGTAACAGCTAATACAGTTTGGGGAGCAGCGTTTTTCGGCATCAGCACATTCGGATTCCGAAATGGGTATGTCGAAATCGAACAGTGCTCAACTTACGGACCAGTAAACTATCTCTCTCGAACATGACTCAAATAGTTTGAACTCAAAATGTTGGGTAGACGTGTCACAGTCTCAACTATAATTCCTAAGCGATAACTAATAGCGCAGGCACTCTAAAATTGAACGCGAGTATCAGCCTCAGCTGGAGATGGTATGTCTTCGAGCGCCCCTCGCAAGATTTGCCTGGAAAAAGAACGTGGCGATTTCTTTCATTTCAGGCAGTTTTGAATCGCGATAGTTATCACTTTCGCGGCAATGTATGCCCTGGATGATGAAAATTCGCAACAAAACTAGTTGAGATAAATTGTTTATCTGAAAGAGCCCTGGTCGAAGCGATTACAGATTTTAACACTATAAAGGATATTACCTTTTCGAACCACTTCACGACCGTGAAAAACGACAAAAGTGCTTATAATGAGAGGATGAGACGTCATACTTTCGGGCAGCAGTGATGCAAAGCAGAAGCCATGTTTGGAAAATGGGAAAATCCAAGGAGGGCTTGAGTAGGCCTCCCTTTTTCTCTTTTTTTGCCTCCCATTCTGCGGGAGAGCCCGATATTTCCGTTAATTTGGTAGCAATATGGAAGCATGATATTAGCGTTACAACCGCCAAGCACTGAAGACGAAAGCTGTTGTTCACAACGGGAAGCTGGGTAAGTGCCGCGCTAATGGTTTACATCGTTACCTCATTTGTTGTTTGCGATTTGATGTCTGCCCCATGAAAATGTATCGCTCATTGTCATGCAACCAAGGAACCCAGCAAAAGACTTGAAGGGAAGCATCTAACGACTAAAGTGGGGTCAAGATAACGTGGTGGGGTGCAGATTTTCACTCAAATTTTCAGTTTTAAGACACTGTCTTGGTGTGTAGAAGCCTAGGTGGGAGTCACCTTGCCCTAGGAGCCGTCCTGTAAGTGAAAAATATGCTGTTGGGCTGGTAGGTAGCTACATTTAATATGATGTGTCAGATGGTCCCAGGTATTGTACAGTGGCTGCCAGCATGCATGACATTTTAATCATAAAGTCATCATGGGATGCCCTGGGAAATAATGTAACAATAAAGAAAGTGTTCAGATGGTAATGCAGATTGTTTTGTATTTTGCACAATGCTGCCACACAGCTGCCTAGGGTGTGGGTTGACACTTGTTGATCAGTTGCCAGCTGGTTTTTCCATTTCAGTCAGCCAAACAGCATGCCTGCTATGGGATTTTTGCCCAGTGCTGCTGGGTTATGAGCCCACTATCTCTTCTAACCTGTAGATTTTCACAATTTTCCACTGAGATGGGGAGAGGTGTGAATCATGTAGGGCACATTGTCAGAAAATATGGCATTTGGCAGAACTGGATGTAATAATTAGAAAATAGTCCACAAGTGTCCAAAAAGTCATCCCCTGTGCCTAGCACCTATTAAAACCTGTGTGCTGAATGTTGTGCCTGTGTGCACCAACCTCAGGCTAGGCCAAATCATGCTGAACTTTCACATATTTTTTCATGGAAAAATGGTTCTAGTATTGCTGCCTGGAATTACCTTTGAAATATGATAATTCCTGAAAACTGATGTGTTTATGGCAACACTGTTCAAATGCAGCATCCGCCAAGTGCCTGGTCCTGTGGGAATCTCCGCTGCAGAGCTTACCAGAGCTTGCTCTGGAGCCAGGATGTGCGAACAACAGCTCTGGTCACCTGGCCCTTTTGGGGCCCAGTCAGGCCACACCATATGGGCAGAGGCCTGGCCACGCACACACACACACACACACACACAGGTCATGCATGCAGACCAGTGCATAGAACACAAATGCTAGGTCTCTAAGGACTGAAATTAGTGCCAACCATGTGCTGAACTCCCAGGCTTGGATTTATGTGCACACAGCTAACATTGTTGCTGTGATGTTGCTGCAACTGCTGTGCTGGAATGATTGGTATTTTTTGCAGTCTGGGCTCAGGGTCCTCAAGTATAAAGTAGTTTTTTATCATCATGGCTACCTATGAACTAGCAGACCAGTTTTGTAGGTGTGAACGTGAAACACTACAGAATGTCAGTCAGGACAAATATCCCTAGGTTTATGTGTTGTTGCACCAAACTTTTTTATTGTTGCCTATCCATGAATTTAATGTTAAAACAAGTGGCCTTCTGGTGGCAGATAATAGCAGTCACATATCACTTCTGTGTCCTTCTAGCTGAATGCCCAAGCACACCTTAAAACTGTTCACTGTGGCACCGTTTCTGTATGAAACTCAGTAACACCACCATGAACAGCCTCAGTAACAGCGCCATGAACATGCTGTGGCTCTGCTCCCCAGCAGCCAGCAGCCAATGACCGACCCTCACCCGGAGCGCTACCTTTACCTGCGCGACCTGCTGGCCGAGCTGCGCGACTCGTCGGAGCCAGCTGCCCGGCGACAGGTGCTGGCCAACGTCGCCAACTTCGCCTACGATCCGCGCAACGCCGGTCACCTGCTGCGGCTGGGCGCGCCGCGCGCGCTGCTGACCCGTCTGGCCGACCCGGACCCGCTGCTGCGCCGGTTCGCCGCCGCCGGGCTGTGCAATCTGTGCCTGGAGCCAGCCTGCCGCGCCGCCCTGCTGGCCGGCGGCCTGCTGCCCGCCCTGCTGGGGTGAGTCACAGTATCTGTGTGACACTGCACAGAGCCGGCCTGCCTCACCGCCCTGCTGGCCGGCGGCCTGCTGCTCGCCCTGCTGGGGTAAGTCACAGTATCTGACATGTGACACTACACAGAGGTAGCCTGCCGCGCTGTCCTGCTGGCCGGCGGCCTGCTGCCCGCTCTGCTGGGGTGAGTCGCAGTATCCGAAGTGTGGCACTGCAGAGAGCCGGCCTGCCGCGCCGCCCTGCTGGCCGGCGGCCTGCTGGGATTGAGTCACAGTTTCTGCGTGACACTGCACGGAATGACGCGGACTGCGCGCTGATGGTCGGATGGGCGTCCGTTGTGGCTCGTGTCAGGCACGGTTGCCGCACCACGTGCTCTGCTGGCGTGATTCAGATGGGGACTACCTACCGTGCTGTGGTGACTCACAGAGCCACAGCTGGCTGCTCGCCCGCGCTGAGTGGCGCATGAAAGCGCTGTTTGTGGGATGAGGTGAAATTCGCTATCGATCCTGCGTGAGCGCGTACTAAGACGCCGTCCGCAGGCCTGCGTCCTCCAGCACCACGCCGCCTCACTGGCTCCCCCTCTGTCGACAGCTGTCTGGAGGAGGAGTGCGTGGAGACGGTGACGTACGGCTTGACGACGCTGCTGCTTCTCCCGGTCACCGACGCCGACCTCTGGTCGCAGGTACGGACACCCCGGCGGGCGGCGGCCAGGGTCGTTCAGTGCAGAAACTTCGTTAAGCGGAGATTAGTCGGCTGCCGACAGCGTTGCAAAGGGAAGGGGAGACGACCGCGAGCGCTGGCTTGCACTGAATTTTCACATGTTTTGTTTACCAAATATATTATTTACTAGGCATGCATGTTCCAAATACTTTTAGGAGTACTTGTCGTGTCTGCATCGTCGTCATCATTTTCAGGTTTCTTCGAAACTTTTGTTCCAATTATAAATGTTAGTGGTTGTGCAGTACCATCTAATTATTTCCATTTGCTGAGTATTTGTTATGCTTGTACCTTGAGGTTAATTATGGCTTCTACTGCTTTCCTTTGCTCCCATTTTGTACCACTAATTAATATTTGCCGATCCGAAGGGAAGTGATTTTCCGTACTATTCCGCTCGTCGTTATACTTTTTCGGCTGGCGCAGGTGCGCATTTCCTTGTACCTGGTCCAATCATTTCAATGTGCTACCTTGTTCGTTGTCATGCTGTCAAACTCTTCAGGACCTTGCCACGTCGGATCAGCTAAGTCATCTTACAGCTACTTTTGGTTTTCCGGTCTCAATGTTATGTCTGCGGAGAGGCCTTTTTATCCTTTCTATTTCCATACCGTGCCGCTCCGCTTGTTCGTATTACTCATGGTGACGGCAGCTGTCATGGCGTCAGGTGGACGGCGTGCGCCTGACCCGACTGACTGCCGAGCTCTGCCGCTCCCCGGACCAGCGGCTACTGAACCTGGCCACCCTGCTGCACCACCAGCTGCCGAGCTCTGCCGCTCCCCCGACCAGCGGCTACTGAACCTGGCCATCCTGCTGCACCACCAGCTGCCCAGCTGTGCCGCTCCCCCAACCAGCGGCTGCTGAACTTGGCCACCCTGCTGCACCACCAGCTGCCGAGCTCTGCCGCTCCCCCAACCAGCGGCTGCTGAACTTGGCCACCCTGCTGCACCACCAGCTGCCAAGCTCTGCCGCTCCCCCGACCAGCGGCTGCTGAACCTGGCCACCCTGCTGCACCACCAGCTGCCCAGCTGTGCCGCTCCCCCGACCAGCGGCTGCTGAACCTGGCCACCTTGCTGCACCACCAGCTGCCCAGCTGTGCTGCTCCCCCAACCAGCGGCTGCTGAACCTGGCCACCCTGCTGCACCACCAACTGCCCAGCTGTGCTGCTCCCCCAACCAGCGGCTGCTGAACCTGGCCACCCTGCTGCACCACCAGCTGCCGAGCTCTGCCGCTCCCCCGACCAGCGGCTACTGAACCTGGCCACCCTGCAGCACCACCAGCCAGCCACCTCTGAACTCAGGGGGCGAGCGAGCAGACAGCTCACGTGACGGGAACGGTGCTTTCACAGCATAGACGTTTGACATGAACATAGCGTGAACAGTGCAGTATTCACATCGTATTAAAATATTGAGTTCAAAGACGAGTGTGAGAGGGACTCTGTGGCAAGTTCGGAGGCGGGCCTTCCGCTGCGGACCGGTAGATGGCGGTGGCACTGCTCTCCTCCGGGGCCGCACACCGGCTCAGTCGCGCCGCCTGTCGCCTCACTCCGGCCGCCGCGCGCCACCTGAGCGTGGGCGACCGCGCCGAGCACGAGGTGCAGCTGAGCCGCGCCCTCGTCGAGCGGTTCGCCGCGCTCAGCGGCGACACCAACCCCATCCACGTGGACGCGGCGGCCGCGCTGCCGCTCGTGACAACAGCGGAGCCTGCCGGTGACGTCAGTGACCGCTGCGGCGGCAGCGGCGCGGACGACACGGACGACACGGTGGTGCACGGCGCCCTGCTCAACGGCCTGGTGTCGGCGGTGATGGGCACGCGCCTGCCGGGGCCCGGCACGCTGGTGGCGCGCCAGACGCTCGAGTTTCCGGCGGTGTGTCGCAGCTCGGACCGGGTGCGCGTGGCCGTGTGGCTGACGCGGGTGCGCCGCGTGATCGGCGCCGAGTTCAGCGTCAGCGTGCCGCGCCGCGGTGGGCTCGTGGTCATGCGCGGCACCGCCCAGCTGGTGCGCAGAGCGGCTGGCTGACGGCTGCAATGTTGGCAGCAGGGGAGTCTGAGGCGAGGGCGCAGAGGGGCCGGCTGACGGCTGCCGTGTTGGTAGCAGGAGAGTCTGAGGAGTCTGAGGAGTCTGGGAGTCTGAGGCGAGGGCGCCTGGGTGACTGTCGCCGTTCGAGGCTGTGATGTGGCGTATTGTAGTGCAATACAGGTGGGTGTTCATCGCGAGAGCAGCGGATGGGTACAACGTAGCAGAATGCAGACGTGTGGGACCGAGATGAGCGAGAGCAGCGGTTGGGTGCGATGTAGTAGAAGGCAGACTGTGTAGATAGTGGTTCTACTACTCTGTTGGACTCGTATACTTATCGCTGGATGAGCTGCTTTGCAGTTGATTGCAAATGGTGCGCCGTTAAGACGAGGCAGTCTGCAATTAAACACGTGGAAAATTCTGAAATTAAGCACGTGGATGCATCAGTGACATATTCTCACGTTTTGCAGCCTCGTTTCTTTGACAGTCTTCGATGCATCGGCCTTGTAAAGCGCCCTCGGAGGCGACGGAATGCCTACTTCCCGATGATCCGCGAGCGTTTGAAGAGGCCGCGAGTCTTGGCGTCTTCCCGCTCTCTCGTTCTATTATTGTTGTCGGGAGCCTGTCACATCAATTTCTCCGTGTCTTACCGGGGTCCTGTGTGCCTCCTCGTAGCCTGGTATGAATTTGCAACACACCACCATTTTCCGCCATTTTATAGGGAGGGGTATGATAATTTTACAGATTCTTTCCCTCTCGCGTGCTGGCCTTCATCCACCTATGTTGCGTGATTCCCTGTTCGTCTCGCACTCGCGACTTTTTGCGTCCCTATTCCGGCGGTTTTGATGGTTCGTAACTGTCCTTGAGACTGTCTCGCTCCCCTCTGATGGCCCCATGGAGACATACAAGTACATTGCGCCACGGGATCCGCTCCTCACAGAGTATGACCTGCAGCGCACGTGGCACACCTCGTCTTGAGTTTTTCGACAGCACTGACTTGGGCCGTCATAGTAACGCCCGGGGAGGGGGTGATACATTTGAGTATCAAGCCGGAATCCGCAACGCGTGGTACCAAGATTTGTGTGGTCCCCTACCAATCCTCGTATCAGGTCCCACTAGCGCACACCTTTTACCTTGGAGAGTAGCCCTATATTCACGTGCTTGTTAGGCACGTATTGGTCCGAGTGCCATCATCGTGCATTTGGATCAAGAACAACGAATCCTATGGAGACCGATTCTTTACTGGGAACGCGGTGACGCAAACGTAGTTTTTTTACTTTATCTGAGCATAGAATGCTTAAGTGATATTCGTAGTAAAATAAAACTGTTCATTTCATTCCTTTAGATACACCGCCTTTGCTGTAGACTCTTGGTTATATTAACATTTCTCTGTCAACTTTTTGACTCAGCTAATCGCCAGCTTCACCTGTAAAAATTTGACTGACGCGTACTTTGGGCGTTGATGAGGTATCTGGCGCGCCATCGACAGTTATTGCGTGGACTAAAGCCGTTAGATAGCCTTTACTAAAGTACATGACCATAAAACGAGGGGTGCGTGAGCAGGTAAAGTGTCTATTACCCTGGATGCAACTTCTGCTGCAGTGTAGCGCACATTCAAAAGCTACCATAGTGTTCATTTGCCATACACTTGATAGAGCAGCAAAGAGTATAGGTGTTAGTGACGAGTGTGCATGATATGGTTGGTGGGGAAATAAACCTGGCTCAGATCAATTAAGTTGCTCGTTTCAGGTGGTTTAGCTTGTGTGGCTTCATGTGGATGAGCTTGAGTTCAGAGAATTTTTCCTTTCATTGTTACGATATTTGCATGGAAGCTGCTGATGTTTGTTCTTGTCCCATATTTGATTGCCATTGGCTTAATGTTGACAAATTTTGAAAATAGGATGAATGCTGCCTTATCTTGTCTTATAGTAGTGGGGAACATCAGGCCAGGAGGTCTTTTCGTTTTAATGCTCACATTCTGGAAATGAATGCATGTACCTTTCTTATGTCTTTTTTGGATCTTAATGATACACTCAGAAGCTGCAGCAATACAGAGTCATCCGGTCTCATGGAACCAAGCTGACTAAGAGAGCATTCTTATTGTTTATTACCCCAACTGATTTGGCATAACAGGCATATGGTTTTGGAAGACCTAGCACCATATGGGTTGAGAAAATTTATTATAACAGTTGAACAAAGTTGTCACTTAGATAGATTCACTTGTTACTTAAGTGAATATTTTAACAAAATATTATCAATATCAACAATCACTTATCCCCATAATTTCAGTAGATAAACACAGTAAATATGCATGGAACAAACACCATCTCAGACCTCCCCTAGTTTTTCATGCTGCTTAGCCCCCAAACTAAATATATGTGACATATTGTAAAACTATTCAGCATCTGAGTGTCTTCTTACATGTAAATTACCACTAACACTATTATATTTAATGCATAGTGCAACGTTGATGAAGCTGATTGGACTTTAAAGAAAAACATGCTTATTCCTGAAAATCAGTGTTATCTGAACATTTAATTTTGTATGCAAAGTTTCTGAATACGCACAGGTAGACCGACTGTACAATTGTGGTCATATCTAAAAAGTAACTGATATTGCATTTTATTTGATGGTCTTGGTTACAGGCATGAGGGGTTTGGGACAAGCATGATCCTTGAATATGCCTATGTGACCAAGCTTGACCAGATATGTTGGTTGTGCAATGGTCACTGAGTGATTTGCCACTTTCAGCTGGGGGACAGTCTACATGCAAGCTGAGAGAAGTGGCAATGGTGAAGAAAGTGCTTGTCAAGCAAGACAATGGAGTCAGATCAGTTGCATTGGCTGGACAAGACAATATTCTGACATCACTGACTTATGAGGCTGTGAACATTCCAGGGCAAATTGCAACAAACTATGAGATTGATTTTGCTGATGCCCAAGATCAGCTTGACTATGTCATTGAGTGTGAGGAAGCAGACCACACCACTTTAAAGTTTGAGCAAGCTCTGGAGGAGTATGAATCTCCTGAGATTGATCACATGACCCCTGCTGTAATTTTGGTAAGGCCATCTGTAGTAACACATGAATTTTTACATAGAAATTATTATACTGATTTTTTCACTTTCAGACTTCTCAACTGTAGTCTCACAACTTAGTTTAAATGCTTATGCATCCTCTTAATGCCTTTGTGCCCAGCTACTGTGCTAAGAATGAGTTATTTAATGAGGAGGCATGAGTTTTACCAATTGAGGCACCTGCATCTCATTTCAGTGAGTGATGGGCATTGTTGACTCACACCCTAGAAACTGAACTTGTGCTGCCTATTTTTCACAGCAGGTAGCAACTGGCTAAGGAAGCCATGGTTAAAGTGGGGATAGCCATGTCTTGACATTACATGGTATGCCAAGATCTTTCAGCAAAGTAAAGCTGGAATTGTGCTGCAGGGATGGTAGGTCCCATGTCTTTGCAACAATCCAACAAAAAATATTTAATTGACCTTTGATTTAGGAAATCATATGAATTTCATGCTTAGTGCATAGTATGTGGTGGCTGCTCATGATACTGAAAAGTAAACCCTGTCTTTACAGGTTGTGCTGGTTATGACCTGCAACATTTATTTTTCTCAGACTGAGGAGGAGGTGGAGGTGGCAGCATATGCCACACTGTCTTCAACTGGAAGGGGATCAAAGAACAAGAAACCAGTTCCTGCTGTGATCCTGGTATGCTGTGCGTTATTGTTGTGCACCCATGCCAACACACCTTACTGCCTTCTTTCTTACTTTTGGCACTTTAGGCCTTGGATTGTCTGAGAACCTCACATTCTACAAATTTGTCTTAAATGAAAATATGTGAAATGACATTCCAGTTTATGTCACTAGTATGGGAAGACAACATTAAGTAGGCTTCTCAGGTAGCCTGTTCACAAGAAATAGCTGTATCTGAGGGTCAGTGAAGTCTCTTCTTGATACACACACTGGAGAGGAAGTATGACATTAGAACAATGGATACAATGGAGAGCTATGTAACTTGAAAAAGTAAATTTTAGTGAACTCAGTGTCTTTGGCTGTATGCAGTCATTTTATAGTTTTCATGTGCTGTCTTATGTCTCCAGGAATCGAACACCTGCCCTCTTCACTGTGGTGAACCAATCAAGTCAGAAAACCATCTGAGAGGTCATCTGAAGGTGAAACACTCAATCGAAATGCAAAAGGAGTTAAAGCACTTCGAAAATATGGGAAGTGAGTACGTCTTACAGCACACCCCATTTGAAGAACGATTGAGGACATCATGAAATGGCATTCACAGACTAATCTAAGGACTGTATTTTTACTATACTTTGCATTTTCTTTTGTTGTTTTATGATGACCACATGACAGAGCATGTCAAAAGCACACCATTGGTAGTGTTTCGTTGTAACAATGGTCGGGAAGTGTTCAAAATTGTTATGCACTCTCACATCGGTTTGCTGGGAGCTGGCCGATTTTTGCTTTGTTTGCGCGGTCACTTATGCTAATCTGCACAGAAATAGTGCCTTGGTGGTTAACTTAGTCGGACGTAGGGATTCTGCTGCCCATTTTAACAATGTTTCATATCTGCTCATCTCGCGCAAATCAGTCCTTTACTGCGGCGGTTTGGCGTAGCGCACTGTCCCGTTTCCGCACTGTATGCCTCACCGCCGCCCGTGTCGCGCGGGCCAGGTTTCCTGGCGTGGAAGGAGGCGCGCGAGCGGGAGGCGTCACGGCGCTACGTGGTCCGGGAGACGCGCAGCGACTGGCGGCGGTTCGCCTGCTCCAGGTGCGTGGCCGCCGCCGCTGCGCCGAACCTCCGCCCCCGGGTCACCAAGCGATGCCTGTGTTTGACGCCGTGGTAGAGGGGTGCGGCGTGTTCCCGATTTGGGAGGTGACAGCCGGTCGGGGCGCACGTGCGGATGCACCGGTCGGGACCGTTCCCACTTGTCGGTGGGCGCGCCGCTTGCGATGTGGCTCGTCAGGCCCCATTTTGGTGTGTAATGGTGGTCACTGACAGGTCGTAGAAACAAAACGGACACGCCCATGGGAAGAAGCACATCTCCTGTGAGCAGATCACGTGCCCAGGTTGTAATGACCTGGTGGGTATACTGTATTGCTTGAGATATCCATCATCTGTTAATCGGATTTCCTTTTGGTCAAGTTTTTGCTCCCCTATGGTGATATAATTCGTCACGCTTTGTATGGCCGCTGTGGCAGTTAAGTACAAAGGTCCAGCCGCACTCGGTGTCGTTGTGGGGCCGGGTGTGCAGCACTGTCTGCGTCGGCGCCGCGGCTTTCTCTCGCGCGGCGTTCGTGTTGTGTCCGCGCCACGCGCCCGGCGTCGACGGCGGCGGAGGCCGGCCGCGCCCTGACGCCACCCTGCGGTCGCAGGTCCGGCCAGCCGTCCGGCACAAATCGGCCGCAGCGCTGGAAGAAGACGGGCAAGTTCTGCCCGGCCTACATCCGCACGAAGACGGCCACCGACGGCTCGGTGACGGCCCGCTTCTCGCTGCTGCACACGTGCCAGCAGCCCGACCTGACGCCGCTCAGCTCGGACCGCGAGGTGGCCAGAGGTGCGCAGGCGGCTGCCGCGCTGCCGGCCCCCGGCGGGCGGAGGGCCGCCGACCGACCGGAGCCACCCTCTCTGAGAGGAGAGGCCGGCGGCGGCACCGATGGTTCACTGTCCGCTCATAGAGATAGAGGGACGAATCATCGGGAGCGGACCCGGTGCCTGATTCTCCAGCGAGGCTTTGCCCCGAGCGATCCCCGGCTGGGGTTAAAGTGCGCAGACCTTCAATCATCCACATTTACATGGGGTTTCGAACTGAAATAGCCAACCTTTAGATGCGGCTCACGGCCATGCCATTTTGAGACCTAAAATCATCTGGTTCATAAGCTTAAAGCTCGCAAAGATGTGGGAGAGTAAATGTTGGAGATTATTTCAAGGTCACGCTGACATTCATGACGTCATAATTATGCTATTCAATTCGTGCCATTTCATAAGCCATGCGGCGATCAAGGCTAAGCAAAATATAATGATGAAGTCTTTCATATCTGGCGTTTACGAACACAATTTCCAGATCTAACGGCCGTCAAGCAGCCCTCAATCAATGTTGTGCAATGTACAATGACATAATCCAACAAGGATGTATAGAGGAGCATATTTACGGAACAGAAATTGTGTGGTCTAGAGCAGTCCACTTAAAAGCATACCAATAGCTATAAGTGGGCTGGTATCATCATATCTGGTGCTTGCTTCCATATCTTCAAATGTGAAACATTCCATTTAAGTGTTGAAGGGGCTTCTGAAGATGTAATGATAATGTATGTCTTAACCTCCATTGTCATGCTTATTGTGCAAATTTGCGCGCATCTCGTTTCCAACAAGTCTTCTATATTTAAAGTCTGTCTCTGCTGTAATCATGGACAGTCGCCATGTACGCACGTACGAGGGAGGGTGTGTCTTGTCTGCCCGGGTTTCTCAGCGTGCGTGACCCGACCTCTGCCGTCGCCAGCGCACTGGCAGCTGGACCTGTTTGAGCGCGCTCTCAGCGATAGCCAGCCTCGCCAGCGCAAGAGGCGGCGGACCAGCGACGTCGAGGCGGAGCCGGAGCCGCAGCCAGACCCGCAGCCGGAGCCGGAGATGGAGCTTGAACCAGAGCCAGAGCCAGAGCCAGAGCCGGACGCCGCTCTAGAGCAGGTATGAGCGCCGTGCTGTGTCGGACGCCACTGGACCAGTGGTCGCGGACGGACGGACCTGTCGGGAAGAGCGAAAAGACCCTGTGGTGTGTCCTGGCAGCGATGGGATGCGTACGGTGGCCAGCCTATTTTGTGGCATTTGGGTTGTACGCGTTTACTTAAAGGTTTGATGCGTGCCGTGCAGAAATTACCTCGACCTGCGGTTGCTTTACTTTGCGGAGCTGTTTGTTGATGACCGCTGATGATCCGCGCTTCACTTTGTGTGATGAGCCCGGAAAGCCTTTCGCCGAGAGCATGGTTACCATCTCGACGCATCGCTTTCCGCTTTCCCGTGCCCAATTTCACGAGCTTGATTTCTACTCCGGAGGACGTTCGTAAGGCACAAAACCTAATCCTGGTGTCCCTGCGGCGCCACGCTCTAGAGCAGGTGTGGGCACCGCTGAACTGCGACTTCCTAGTCTTTTCGCACCTGAGCCATAGCTATCATACCGCGGCTCCCTCAAATTGGCGTGCGGGTCTAGATCGTCCACGACTCCGATTCGCTTGCTGAAGGCGCGAACGTGTCTCCATGTAGCTGCCTATGGCTTCCAGGACGGTCAGCTGCACACGCCGGCGATGACGGAGTCTCCCCGGGCGGCGGTCAGGAGGCCTCACTGGACCGCCAGAGGCGCCCGGGCCAGCAAGGTCCGGCTGAAGCTGGCCACTGCGCGCTCCAGGCGGAACGCCAGGTGCGGCTGTCCACAGTGCGACGACGGCTGTAGTCCAATGGCCCAGCGTGTGTGCCTGTATATGAGCAGTGTGGATACCGTGAAGAGTTTGAAGATCTGGGTCTGGTTCTGATGCCGTCCGCAGATAAACCTAGTTCACCTTGCCATGGATTGGGACAATTTTGTGCAGTTGCCGCCTGGAAGTTGATGGAAGGATAGAGTTTTTTGGGAGGGGTGGTAGTATATGTGTTTGAGATTTCTGTGGTCAGAACTGCAGCTGTGAGGACAGCGCTGAAGCCGTTGCGTTGCAGTTTAATAGTCTCGCTCACCCAAGGTGAACACGGCAAAGCCGGTCCTGCCGGGGTTAAGTATCTAATTGATTTGTGACCGCACCACTTTCTTCGCGCCTGGATGGGGGAGAAAACGATCTCGAGCGTAACAATCTTGTTTCGAAAGTGGTAAAGCTGCACGAGACACGACCCCTCGTCTGCGTCAGTCCGTGATGCCCTTCGCCTGCGTGCAGAGCGGCCCGACTGTCGGAGTCTGGCAGCGGCAGCGGCGGCGGCGGCGGCCTGTCTGCCACCAAGCAGCTGGTGAGGACGAACCTGGTGCGGCTGCTGGGCCGGCTGGAGCTGGCGTCCGAGGCGGAGGCGGACCTGCTGCTGCGCGACACATCGGCCCTGCTGGAGCGGCACGCGCGCATCAGACGCCGCGGGAACGCTGGTACGGAGGGATGCCGGGCCGCCGAGCTGCGCTGTGGGAGCAGGAGCAGGAGCAGGAGCCATTTAAGAGGGCAGGGACATTGGGTTGGATGTAACAGAAGCGAGACTTAGGAGAGGTGGCCTAACCTGGCCAGTGAGGCTGAAGTGGGACTCCGTCTGGCTTATCTGATCTGGCTGGTTCTTGAAACCTCGAACTGCGGGGGTTTTTCGCCTTCGCCGTATGAGGCGTACCTAAGAAGGCGCCCAAGATATGTAAAAATAACAGATCTGGAGCCAATCTTCTGGCCTGTCGTGACTTTGGGATAATGTTTCGAGCTTTGGGTTTGATCACATTGAATCTAAATATCGCAGGTAACCAAACTTGCGGGGATCGTGCTAGTGTTCAGAAACAAGTGAAACAGATACATATTTCTCTAAACCGTGGTGAAATTCTTTACTGACGTGGATAGAGGTTATTCCTGGCTCGGACACGCTGCCTGCCACCAGGACTGGTGCTGCCTTGTGTCGGGCCATTCTGATCACTCAGCGGCTTTTCGGTCAGTTAGAGGGAGCATTGTAACGTCAGACCATACAGCACGAACGATTGCACGGAGAACGCATTTGTTTGTTGTCTAGGTCTGGCCGCACTCTGTTCACAAATTACAGCAGCCCTTTACGCGGCTTGCTTTTAAATTTATTACGTTCGAAGAAATACTACAACGAATAAGAAAGTCTGCATGGTTAAGTCTTTGACGCCAAGTAAGCGAAACAACTGTTATAGCGGGGACTAGTCGGCAACATCGTTAGAATATGGTGTTAAAATATAGTCAAGAATAGTATTAGAACATGATACTTTCCAGTGACGCAGCCCAAGTCTCTTTCATACGTGACATGGACCGCAATGTTTTCTTTTTCTACGTCGCTTGGTCGCGTAGTGTTGTAGTGTAGTGTAGTGTAGTGTAGTGTAGTGTTGTAGTGCGCGTAGTGGCCTGGGTGGACTATAGCGGGACATGGAGGCATCCGACGCTATATATCTCGCTCCATCAGCAGACCGCTTTCCTCTCTTCATCCGCCAGGGACTCGGCTCCGGCGGCATCAGACGCAGGCGACGGCGTCTGTGGACCCCGACAGCGACCACCCGTACGCTGGCGGCCGGCAGGCGGCGGTCGCCAGCCTGCGGCCAGCGCCTGCGGAGGAGGCAGCACCGCACCACATCGCGGCAGAGACGGCGCCGGACGGCCGGCTGCTGGCGGAGTCCTGGGGCGAGGTGGTGGTGGTGGGAACGGCGGAGAACGAGGCAGACTGCAGAGTGGTTCTAGGCAGCCCAGCCAGCCTTGAGCCCAGCTGAGGCCTGTCACACTGTCATGATATGTTGCGCGAGACAGGCACGTAGCTGGAATTTTCCTCATGGGAAGGAAGGGTGGAAATACAAAATGTGCTGCCCCCTCCCCCATTACGGGCCTGGTGTCAGGCAGACAAACTGCTAGTCTTTATGGATTGGTGATGGTGTATGGCCTGTAACCAAGATGTGATTATGGTTTGGTCACATTACACAGGTAGCTTTTTCTTGACAATGACATAGCTATGATATCATTGAGATGCGTCACTAATTTGTGCTGTCACGATCAAATATATGTCTCGCCGATTACCCAAATGTTTCTACTAGTCAGGAGAGGACTGAATGATGCCAGCGATCACATCGTTCTCCCTTCCTGCATCGTGCAGGACTTGAGATGAATCAGTTGGGTATCGAAACTACACGGGGTGGGCTCAGCTCCGCTGCAGGTGGTCCTTTAATATTGACGTCATTTGGTGGTCCGTTAATATTGACGTCATGTGGTGACGCTTGTCCGGCGGGCCAGGGCTGTGTTCGGGGCGCATGATGCGGAATGCGCATATTTTGTCTCCTTTGTCGACACAGGTACGGTTCTGGACTGGAACGAAAACAAAACGGAAATACCGGGAGGCCTACTGTGGGACTGTGGTGGGGACCTTCAGCCGTTGTTATTCCACTTTATTGTTGGTTCGGTGAGTTGGGCCAATGTGAAGCTCATGCGTTGCATGGTGTTTTTTTATGATCAGCTTGGTGAGGGAATACTTTGATTCCCAATTTAGCAGCTCGAAATTCTAAGAGTTCCCTGCTTCCTCAGCGTGATTAAAATGTTTGTTTTACCATTTCCGTGTATATTATATTAACACTCTCTGTACTTGCTGAATTTGGGCAGCAGATAGAAGTGGGTTTTCAAAAGGTGGTGCACCTGTTGCAAATTTCCCTGGGCACATCAATGCAATGACAATTGAAATGCCATGCAAGCCATTATGACCATTAACCCAGTGAAGTAACACCTAATGCATGGTAGCTAGTACCACTATCTAGTAGCCAAGATAGTATATATCTTAGCTGAAGTCTGAGGGACATATGCTGTTCAAGGAGCAGGTACAGATGACAAATGTCTATGGTGTGACTTCCTTTGCACCTGGATACCACCAGTTGACCACAGATGTCCCAGCACCAGCGATCTGAGATGTCTGTTTTTGGCATGGACTGGGACTGGGGCTGGGCCAGAATGGATTACTTGCTTCATGTGGTGTGGGTCTGATGTAGCATGAGAAGCAAAGCAAGATATTCTTCTGAATTACTTTAAATTAGGATGGCAGTTATGCACTCATGTTCTTAGTGCACAGCAAGCTTGTGGAATCATTAGTCTTGAAATCAGTGCATTATGATGTGGGGGAAGAATCCTGCTCTTTTGTTTTTGGTAGATCTGCTGCATTTCACTCGCTGCTGTGAATGGTGGCCTCCAACAACTTGTACATTGTCATAATGCTGATGTGGTTCCATGGACCAATGTTTGAATGCTTGAGCACCTATGTTCCATGCTCCAGAATCACAGCACACACCCTTCAGTTCATCGCATGAATGCATTGGACATTTTAGGGTATCAGCATGGGGGAGTTTGCTTTTGATGCTCTTCATTTATGATACATGCCTCCTATATATGAAAACTCAAGTAAGATGATTCATTGCTGTTTTCATTGCACTCACTTAACTAACCTTATAATTTTGTGTTCATCAGCTATATAACTTTTGATTTGTGTATGTTCCCAAGCCATGTGCAGGAATGTCATTAAGTGTGCTGAGTAGACACAATATCTGACACTGGGGGTGGCACCCAATATTTTTCACCACTGTGACACTAACAGAATGTTTCAAAGGCCTGCAGCTTTGGAATCATTCTAACTACCCTTGTTTATGTGTAACTACCCAGTTAGTGACTGGTTTGTTAACTGGGTAATTGCAGTTAAACTTTAGTTACCCTAGCATAATGTGTATATTTACAGTTGCCATCAGACTAGACCTAGGCAACATTCACGCAGGTCATGGGGAAGTGAAAGTTTTTGCAAGAATGTGCAATGTTTGGCATAGCCTCCTGCTCTTGGTATAACTGTGCTCAGTTGCATTCTCTTTGGTTTTTCCCTTGCCTGCTTCCTGTTTATGCGACTTTCACAGCACTAGCTGCATTATAAGTGGCATTCCTCCTTCACAATAATTATTGTCTTCCCTTGTATTTTGGTATGCACATGAATATATTGTTGCAGACTGAGAGCTGATTTCTTTTTTCCTCTCAGCAGGCATCATAGCTCCCAAGTGAAAGCAGCACTATGAGCCGTGCCAGTGACCTTTTGTCGGCGGGCGTCGGTCGCCTTATTGAAGATCTGGCAGCTCTGATTGAAAATGAAGATTTGGCTGACATAGTTTTCCTGATTGGGCCGCAAGAGGAGCGTGTGTTTGCACACTCCCTCATGCTCAAGGCCAGGTCAGTATACATCCACCTGTCCCTCCAGCTCTCTCAGTGATGGTTTGAAGTTGCTGCCAGATGTTAATGCATGAATTGACTGGGCTATGTGATGCTTTTGTCACACTAGTTATACCATGTTCGCTTTTTCAATAGTAAGATTTGAAGAACACCACATCCTATCTGTGGTGTGTACCACCTTATTTGATCCAAACAATGACAAAAATATTACATTATCAAAGCTATGCCAATGATGGCAAGGCCTGCAGTGATACAAACATGGGTTCCCTCCATGGTGGTTAAACTTGGGCTGGACCGCCGATGCCATCGAGACTTATGCTATGATGGCATGTATACTGACATGTGTGCCATATGACGTGACATGACATAATGACGTGTATGGCATATGACGTCACGGTGACGTACGATGACGTACGTGCCGCAGGTGCCGCAGCTTCCAGCGCGTGGAGCGGAAGGAGGTGTGCAAGATAGCCGGTGGCACGGTGACGCCTGGCTCGCAGGGGTCCCTGACCGTCGTCAAGTTGCCCGCCTACCGGCCGGATGTCTTCAAGCAGCTCATCACCTACATCTACACGGGCAGGGTGAGCGACTGCCGTCCGGCGCTGACGCTCGTCGGACGCCGGCCGGCGCACCGGGGCCCGGACCGGAGCGGTGGCACCGACCTCGCTCGTCCACTCTGCCGCGAGATGCGGTCGTCTGTGGCATGGCGTTCATGAGAGAGTCCTTGGACATGCCTGGGGACTCAGTAAGGCTGGCGCCTTCGAGACTCTCGGCGCTGCAAGCTTTAGTTACTTCATTGGGGATTTACGACACACTCAGCGACTGAGGTCATATGACGTCACCTGCCCCTCACCCTGGCAGGGTGGGCGGACACCGTGCAGGTGGAACCCCGTACCTTTGGTTTTCCAAACGTACAGCTTAGCCATTACATTACACAACCAGTACCCTAAATTGTAGTATGTGACTCTGGACGCGAATGAACTTAGTTGTCCACCAGAGCAGTGTGTGGCCCGTGCAGAGCGACCAGGTGCTCATGAAATCAACGCGGCGTGATCGGTGGTCTTTGCGGACCGTCAGGCCTTGTTACCCGTGCGTTAAACACGTGACCGCGACCCGTCAGGTGTCCGTGACGGACGATACCGCGCTGGAGCTGCTGGCCGTGTCACGTGCCCTCGGCATGGAGCCGCTGCAGCTCCACTGCGAAGATCACGTGACCTCGAAGATGTCCGTCAGCAACGCGTGCGCGTTCCTGGCGGCCGCCGTGCGCCTGGAGGACGTGACTGGTACGCCGGGAAGGGGTCGCCGCTGCCGCGACTGGAGGACAGCGAAATGGGAGTCAGGGTGACACTTGTGAGCCGGATGGGGCGTAGAGTTGAGTCGTTTTTCCGTGCCAGCAGGATTTCCCGCTCAGAAAATCCAATTACACAGTCGTTATGTTCATGTGAGAGCCATCGCCGCCCGCGCTCAGCCCTATAAGCCGGCAGTCTGCGTACAGGAGATCTTTGTACGGAGATCCTCCGGTGTACGTCGCTGTTGTCGGCGCCTGCCTCAGCCGTCGTCGGGGTGGGGTGTACACGTATGGCGCGTGACCGCTGGCCCGGCGTGACCGGGCAGCTAACACCGGGCCGTCTCCGCTCTGACCTCACCTGACCCGCCCGCCCTGCTGAAGGTGCCCGGGCCTGGTGCAGGTGGACGGGATAGTCGCCACTAACCCTCTGTGGTAGACGTCAGGTAATGGGGCTCCGCTGTCTGGGATGCATGCGCGCGTGAGATTCTTCGACTGTGCGTCGAGAGAATGCTGATGTTCCGCTTTGTGCATGGCTTGTGGATGATAAATAGGCGCAGGTAGCGGTACTTCGCTGTAGGGAATGCATGCAGCATGGTCAAACTGCTCGCGGGCGGGACTGGCGAACTAACTGGTCTTGGGAAATTGGGCTTATTCAGGTGGCTTTTTCATTATTCGGATTACAAATGCTGGGTGATTTGGTGCATGAGGCGTGGGCTCGACCCACACGTCTGGTCTGCAGCGCTTGTCATCTGATGACACAGGGCCGTCATGTGCTGCTTTAGTACTTGTTTTGCATGGTATTCCTGGCATTTCTCCCCTAACTTTGAACGTCATGTTGTTACGTGGTGATAACAGGTACTTAACAACACCACAATAGGTATGTCTTTCCAGCTCTGCCTTGGTTTCATATGCTGATGGTTGTTTCCGTACTCTCGATTTGGCTGTGATAGCCTTGGGCTGTTTGTTGAGTGACTTGATCTTTATAATATAATCTCCATGCAGTGTGTCGGGGTTGTCCGACTCTCGTAACGTGCGCGAACACTCGCTCATATCTCCGGAGCGGGCTCGTGTAACCGAGCTGAGGCCGTTTCCAGGCGGCGAAGACGGCTCCTTCATCAACAAGTGCCTGTCGTTCATCGGCGAACGCGCCAGCGACTGCTTCAAGACCTCCACCTTCCTCAACCTGCCGAGGAACGCCATGATTCGCCTCATCTCCTCGGAGCAGGTGAGGCAACCCTCTCTCACTCGGGCCTTCCGCTGTGTATACCCTCTCAGCCTGACCTAGCGTGCTGCGTGGTCAGAGGCCGTCTGAGGGTCTGCGCTGACGTCTCCTGCCTGCCAGACAGTTACGAAGCTATTGTGTATGTCAGGAGTGCTTTGCTGTGTGTGTGTGTGATTGGTGTTATTTGAGCTTCTGAATGCCGCCGTTTTATTTTGTGATCGATTCGTGTCCCCTCGGCAGGTTACCGGCATGTCCGTTGCGGTCCGTATCCCCTCAACAGATTGCCGGCGTGTCCGTGACGGTCCGTATCCC